AATGTTCTCTAGCAGTCGAAGAATATTGTCCATTGTACATTTCATATCTGAAGCCAATATAATTAAAACCTTTTTATACGCCCGTCGTAAGACGGGACGTATTATGTTATAGGCTTCATGTCCGTCCGTCCGTCTGTCCATTCGTGTCCGGCTCATAACTTGAATACTATTAGACCTAGGATTATCAAACTTTGACAGTTGATACTTCTTGGGTAGATGGTGTGTCACGCACAAAAAGTAGGTCGCTCTGACCTTTAATAAAGATCATACATGTTAACTCTCCCGATTTAGGCGGGAGTCTACCGCTTTTTCACTCCATCTCCCGCCTACCGATTTAATTCAGAAATCTACCGCTTTTCTACAAAAGCTGCGTCTAAAGTATTTTTGGTTCGCTTGGGTATCCATTTTTGAAGCCACTCTCATAAAATCTCGCTAGATATCGCGTGATTTGACTCGGAATCATACAAACGCTTTTTTTGTACATAGATTTCAAGCACGGATTTGACAACGACAACAACACAAGACTACCAGTGATTACATTGGTTACGATAAATTAATCAACATCCCTGCCATGAAAAAGGAGATACAGCTTTTAAGAATTAGATGAAAACATTTGACATCGTCTTTAAAAGCACAGAAGCTCACAACTTTATAAATAAAGTCAATAGAAATCACTCGATTGACCAAGCCATGTGGCACATCTCTACTTTCGTTTTCGATCATCGCGGGAAATCTGATTTATATAACGAAAGATAGGAACTTGTTTTAGATCTAGATTAAACCATGCCATCATGTGTTTTGTTTAAAAACTGAATGAACATTCAGAATTATTGCTTCTAGGCTATATCAGCAAAGATCACTCTTCAAAAGGCTAAGTTTAGCAGCCAATCCAAGCAAAATGATGAGCATGAAAAATATTTGAATTTGTACTATTCATGTCAAACTTAAGGTGTTTCTGTCTTCTTCTTTGCTGTTGCTATTTAAGATTAATTAGTGTAGGTACCTGATTTCATTTAAGGCTTATAATATACATGTATATTACATGAAAGATATCGATAATCCAAGCGTTAAACAACACGCGCGCAATGCTACCGCTTTTGAGGTCTGAATCTCCCTATTTTTCATCACAATAGGTTAACATGTATGAAAGATGCTATGGCCAAATATGGAAAAATCCTGTCCGGCTCACAACTAGAAAACCATTAGACCTAGAGCTTTCAAACTTGGCAAAATTATACATCTTAGGTAGAAGGTGTGTCGTGGCCTATTTCAAGGTCACTGTGACCTTTAATTTAAACACCCAATTTTATGTTAACGCCCCCAAAATCTCATGTCATGTCTCACTTAGAATTTTATAGTCTAAAGAATAATTTATTTTTGATTTTTTTATTAGACTGTAGCATTTCCATTATGCCATAAAATATGCAATAAACAATTTAAAGCTGCAGATGGATATTTGTTAAGTTCTTACACAGCCAGTTTAGAATTATATGATGTATTATTTGTTATAATTAATCCCTACACTGTAAGTCTCTTAGAGATGTATGTACAATATTTTAAACATGATAAGAAATGGAAATTAGATCATTGAAATCGGTGTCAATCTGTTAATCAAGGTTATCTGATTTTCTTGCACCTTAACCAATTTATGATTATTGAACAATATATTTGACGGGCGTATCATGCTGTGGCGGGGCACTTTATTTGTACTTAATAGTTCTTTTATGTTTTGCAGACAAGGAGAAATCGACTCACACATTCATCCATCAAAGAAGACAAGGTTTCAGAAGACCCATCCCAAGCAGTACGACAAAAAGTCAATGAAGAAGAGGAAAGAAAAATTTTCTTTTAAAAGACAGAAAAAGAAAATAAAACCTAGAAATTAATAAATATTTTGTTATCATTACCTACAGCATTATTACCAAGTTTTGCTGTACAGTAAAAAACAATTTTGCTTCATTATAAATGTAAATTGTTATATCCAGCCAGTTTGCCCCACAATTTGTTTAAAACCTACGGGAAATGAACATAACAGTAACTTCCTTATAAGAGTCAATTCATTTATAAGCATGTTTAATTTGCCCTATATTTCTGGCAAGGTATCCATCAACAGGATAACCCCCTGCTAAAATCCTGCTCATCTCAGCCAGAATGTCATTTCCTTCCCTCGACTGAGGAGGTACCACATGGAGTATACTCCATAGTGCATTTTACCACTGAAAGTTTAGTTTAATAAGTATTTTATTCATAATATACAAAGTGTACAATATGAATATGGATTGAACAGCAGGCCAAGGGCCTATATTAGTTCTCTCCATTTGAGATCAAGGTACAATTAAATTCACTGAAAGTCATGAATATACAAAGAGAAAAGTCATACAACGTGGTAGGGTTCGGCCGACATTTGTGATTATCTATAGTAAAATTTTGCTTTGATTATTTTTTCACGTTTTACCGGGGCCCATAAGTGCACTCGTTCTTTATATGAAAAATTGGTAATGCTAGATCCATATGTTTTTTTCACTCACCCAAAAGGAATCAAAATTTCTTATTGATCACCAGGCCGCAGGATCATGAAACAGACATAGTCTTAAGTCAAATTTTTAGCTTCCTGTAAGATATTTAAAATTATTTATTGAATCAATCTCTAATTTTACAGATAAAAACACTTTTATTCAGCAAGATTATAAAATACCCCGGTAGTTTGATTTTTGCCTGTTTGACTTCTTCAACATTCTAGTACAATAGAAAATTTTGACTTAAGCTTTCCGGATAAGAAGCTTCATGATCTTGTGGCCTGGCCTGGTTTGGCTTTTATGAACCACATTAGGCCTAATTTAACAATTACTTGTTGATAGGAGTACTGCTATACAAAAAGTTTACACACATCTATTACCGTGTAAATTTCTTTGATATTTTGCTCACTGTCGTATAAGGACAAGAATCCTCAAAAGTTAAAGGGTGCTGCATCTTTGGACCTCATGTCATGCTAACTCAAAGTAAATCAGGAAGACCTACTATAACAATTTTGCATATACATGTATTCATCATAAAATTGACTCTGCTGCATGTCTTGGAAACTTTGAAGCCTAATACATGTATTATCTATGCATCATGAGGCCAGACACACGAAAGTGTCAACCAAAAAGGAAGTCATAAAGATAATTTTCCAAGTCAACATTTTCAAAACATTTTAGTTTTCTTTATTATTTCAGATTATCATAATATTGTACCGGTAAGTTGATGCATCTTGGAGCTTTGAAACATCTGGAAAAGTAGGTCACAATGATTATCTATAAAAATTTGCAGTTATTCATTTTCAGATGAATTTACAGGGACAGGGAAATACTGATATTTACCACTAGTATTCCCTGGCTGAGCTTGCAACAATATGCATGTGGTACACTGAAATGTAGTAAAATGTTAATTGTAAACTTCATATTTTTAGATACATTTGTATTTAAAATATATTTTATGAAATTAAGTTAATACAGACACATACACATTATATATATAATCAAAAGCGGTGCTGGAAATGAGTTTAGGTAGTACATCACTGTTTGGTACAGTACATCACTGTTTGGTACCAACATTTAAAAAACAGAATCTTTTGTTTACACCTGCAGTGACAAATAAAGAAACAAGTTAAATTGATGCAAAGCATCAAATCGGCCACAAACAAAATTTAGTATTTCAAAAGTACTATCACACTTTTGAAAGCATCCATGCAAGGAAAGCACAAGATATTCAAAGCTGAAATAGTGATCTTTTTTTTAAGACCCTGGACAGCTTCAAGACCCAGCTGTCCAGTGCCAGCCACTAGATGTCACATCTCTGCGCTTTTAATCTTTTAAACTTTTAATTTTTTGAGCACTGTATATAGACACTTGCCCCCTCACGCAGAGTGCGATAATACTCAAGTGGTTTTGCACTGGATGGGAAGAAGAAGAAGAAGAAGACTGTCATCAAGGCAAAATAAATAATTAATTTAAAAACTTGAAAATGTGCATTTGGTGCAAATTTTTTAGTGCATTTGCTCATCAAATGGATTCAATGATGTAATAAAGTCCATGATAAAAGATAAGAATTTATTGTCATCAAAATGAAGATGTAGGCCTTTCAATATGAACTACGTGCTGCATCATCGCAAACCACGGCCAAAATGTACGATCCTCTCCCACTCTGGCCGTGGTTGAATGAGGAGAGAGTTCTTCGTAGCTCATTAAAATATTGACCAATGCAAGTAAAGCATAGTCGGATGATGAACTTTATTGCGACCTTTCAATATCCAATCGCAGTTTACAAAATATTCCTTGTATACTGTTGATGTCAATTGTTGCTATGGAAACCAAACTTCCCACTGACTGAATATGACGTCACGATAGAGAGGCGTAAATATTCAAGATTACGACACTTTTTATGATCAAGCAGCCAAGGGTATGAGAGAGCTTTATGCAGACTCAGGACCATGGCTTGAGACGATGTATGTGCTGATACTTTGGATCTTTTTCACGCGATAATGCCTATGGTTTCTGCAAAGAAGCGGTGCAAAATGTAAAAAAAAAAAAAAAACCTTGATTCATTTGCAGCTATAGCATATTCAAAACTAATTTTACTAGCTAAACAACTTTTCAATTTTTATTCACCGTGAACTTTTATCACGTCATTATTATCTTATTCTGGAAATCGTGACGATTTCCTTTCATATCTTACACACTCCCAAACCTGGGAGTACCTATTGTTAACTCTTATTATTTAACCATAAATTAGCAATTATCTGATAAAATAATAATGATATTGAGATATAAGAAATACAATAAATATATACACTGTACTAAGTTTAAAACAATTTAAAGAATATTTACTCGTGAATAATTTATACATTTTATTATTGAAGAATTATTGTACCGAACTTATGAAAAAATAACGTCTCATTTCCCCATGTGCACTTTCTAACACAACCACAAATAGATCGGCCGCTGCTGTGGCCGATAATTATACTTGTACTATCCAAATGTACTACATATTTATTTGTGAGTTCAATAACCTGTCTTGATCAAATTAATGATTGTGCTTTTAATTGGACTATAGTTCTTTGCATTGCCAGCACTCAGCTTTCCACTTTCATAGATCTCCCACCTTCCTTGACTGTTTTTGGATACGGAGCACATTATCACAGCTTGTGAATACCTTGCATGTGTAAAGGTTGTTTTACACAAGTCTTTGTGAACACTGCTGGCTTCATAGAACTTCAGGCTAGGGTTGGGGTACCTTGAAATGTTAGGGCTGTTCCAAGCACTAAGGGTGAAAAATAGATGAGTTGCATTACTGGGGAGTTGTTTTAAATAAACATGGATTGTGTGATGACCAGTTCTTGTGTGAGAATTCATCACATCCCCAGAATGTGTAATTCCTTGCCTTGAACAATGACGATAATCTACCAGGTTTAAAAAATGTGTATTTTGATACACTAAACAGGAAGCATCCAAATAATCACAGCCAGAGGATGGATAACCCCAGTAAAGATCAAACACCACATGATCAAAGGCCTCGGGAATGGCGTACAGCAGGACCACAAGGTAAAGTGTAGCATAAGGAGGAATACTACACTCTGACAGTGTGAAGGATTGACCATTTGGTTTGAATATCTGCAAAGAAAAGAACAAAAAACATGAATAGCCTCTAATTCTTCTGATCACAGCATTTTGTCTATGTCAGTTTCCAGAACCACGCACTGTACCAATTTCAACCTCTATGCATTTTTTGATTACCGGTAATTAAATTTAATTGGATTTAGGTTTGTTCAACTGAACAGAACTATTTCTCTTTTAATCGGAGATGAAATAAGCCCAAAGGCTAAGAAAACTGGAGCATCCCATTGCAAAAAAGCAAATAGATCCTTATATGAATTAATCTTTGCATACATTAATTTTGCTACTGTTTTTGACATATTTTTTCCCCCTATTTTTCTGGCCCAGTGGTTCTCGAGAAGAAGCTTTTTTAATAACCACATTCAATTTTTCCTTGTTCTTAATTATCTCCCTCCTTTTACCCATTGATACACTGTGTTAAAGCTGACATGAACTCTTAACAAGAGGCCCATGGGCCACATCGCTCACCTGAGCACTGTGGCTAGGAAAAAGCAGAATTGGTTTAGACTTGAAAAGCTTAAATCCAAAAGTACTCCCATGACCAATCCTGGCTTTGCTATTCTTGAGAAGATTTTTAAAGAATTTTCCTATACATTTCTATGTAAAACTTTGGTCGGCCGTTTTGGCCCCTCCCTACCCCTGGGGGTCATAATTTGAACAAACTTGAATCTACACTACCTGAGGATGCTTCCATATAAATATGATCAATTATGGCTTTGTTGTTCTTGAGGAGAAGATTTTTAAAGAAATTTCCTATATATTTTTATGTAAAACTTTGGTCGGCCATTTTGGCCCCACCCTACCCCTGGGGGTCATGATTTGAACAAACTTGAATCTACACTACCTGAGGATGCTTCCATATAAATATGATCAATTATGGCTTTGTTGTTCTTGAGAAGAAGATTTTTAAAGAATTTTCCTATATATCTATGTAAAACTTTGGTCGGCCATTGTGGCCCCGCCCTACCCCTGGGGGTCATGATTTGAACAAACTTGAATCTACACTACCTGAGGATGCTTCCATATAAATATGATCAATTATGGCTTTGTTGTTCTTGAGGAGAAGATTTTTAAAGAAATTTCCTATATATTTTTATGTAAAACTTTGGTCGGCCATTTTGGCCCCACCCTACCCCTGGGGGTCATGATTTGAACAAACTTGAATCTACACTACCTGAGGATGCTTCCATATAAATATGATCAATTATGGCTTTGTTGTTCTTGAGAAGAAGATTTTTAAAGAATTTTCCTATATATCTATGTAAAACTTTGGTCGGCCATTGTGGCCCCGCCCTACCCCTGGGGGTCATGATTTGAACAAACTTGAATCTACACTACCTGAGGATGCTTCCATATAAATTTGATCAATTATGGATTTGTTGTTCTTGAGGAGAAAATTTTTAAAGAAATTTCCTATATATTTCTATCAGTATCTAAAACTTTGGTCGGCCATTTTGGCCCCACCCTACCCCCGGGGGTCATGATTTGAACAAACTTGAATCTACACTACCTGAGGATGCTTCCATATAAATATGATCAATTATGGCCTTGCTATTCTTGAGAAGAAGATTTTTAAAGAATTGTCCGATATATTTCTATGTAAAACTTAGGTCGGCCATTTTGGCCCTGCCCTACCCCCGGGGGTCATGATTTGAACAAACTTGAATCTACACTACCTGAGGATGCTTCCATATAAATATGATCAATTATGGTCTTGCTGTTCTTGAGAAGAAGATTTTTAAAGAATTTTCCTATATATTTCTATGTAAAACTTAGGTCGGCCATTTTGGCCCCGCCCTACCCCCCGGGGTCATGATTTGAACAGACTTGAATCTACACTACCTGAGGATGCTTCCATATAAATATGATCAATTATGGCTTTGTTGTTCTTGAGAAGAAGATTTTTAAAGAATTTTCCTATATATTTCTATGTAAAACTTAGGTCGGCCATTTTGGCCCCGCCCTACCCCCGGGGGTCATGATTTGAACAAACTTGAATCTACACTACCTGAGGATGTTTCCCCATAAGTTTCATCTTTCCTGGCACTGTGGTTCTTGAGAAGAAGATTTTTAAAAGATGCTACCAAATTTTCATTAATTCCCAATTATCTCCCCTTGAATGAGGGCATGGCCCTTCATTTGAACAAACTTGAATCCCCTTCACCCAAGGATACTTTGTGGCAAGTTTGGTTGAAATTGGCCCAGCGGTTCTTGAGAAGAAGTCGAAAATGTGAAAAGTTTACAGACAGACAGACGGACAGACAGACGGACGCCAGATAAAATGTGATCAGAAAACCTTTGGCTCAGGTGAGCTAAAAAGCCATCATTTTTCATCTTTGTACGACTTACTACATTCCTGTACGCCTTTGTCCGCCATATTTCTTCGATTCCGCCATATTTAATTGAAAATTTTTGGTCACCTGTACCTGCTATAAATAGCCTTGTACAATTTTATTCACTTGAGTGATTTTCTAGCCTGACTGTCGACATGTACACATCTCCGATAGCATAGTTTTTAGAAGTCCATAAACTGACCAAATACATTTTTGAAAAGTAAAAATTGAAGAAAAATAGAACTATACCGAGAATTAAATTATTTTTGAATGCATTTGCTGCAATATAGAAAATAAACTAACATGGAATACATATATGTACATCAAACACCCATGGAGGTCGAGAAAACGCGTCAAACGCAGTGATAAAAACATTTACATGAATACTGCTATCGTTACAGGGATGTGCACATGTCAAAAGAATTATCCTATTTTACTTGTATTGAAAAATGCATCTCAGAAGTCATGTAATCCATTGCTAACTCAACAGTAAAAGATGCTTGGACACACGTGGCCCATGCCGATCATTTTATTTGGTCAGGGAAAATATCAAAGGTTGAAAGCTCAGTGGGGTTGATTGAAAAAAAATGCAAGTAATTTTTTCAAAAATAAACATTACTCTTGTCTGTACATGTTGTAAATAAAATTTGCGATTAAGCACATGGTTTAACTTCATCAAATTTATAATAAAGCATGCAATATTACGAATCCTTCACCTTTTGAAGATATTTTCCTGTGATATGAGGGGGTAATAAAACATGCATAAAACTCTCATAAAAATAATGTAAGAAAAACGTCGGAAGCAGATTGGATTTCTTTATGATCAATTATTATCAAATAAATACTGTGTATTGGCTTTATTAGACCTAATATAATTTGATTTAAAGTTATTTATAATTTTATGCACTATGAAAGAAAAAGTAAGCAAGTTCACATACCCCACGCTCCCCCAAAAGTCGAAGTGCTGAAATTCCCAGAAAAAAATAAAGGAGTCGTAATTTCCTTGTAATATGCACATCTATACACATTGTGTCCTAAATATCTGCAAAGTTTGACGAAATTGTGTGCAGCGGTTTATGAGGAGTTGCGCTGACAAACTGCTCATCTCTATATTCAAGGTATGGAAGTGCGGAAATTCCCGAAAAATAAAGAATTCGGAATTTCCTGGTGATGTGCAAATCTACACACACATTGTCTCCTATAAATATCTGCAAAGTTCGACAAAACTCAGTACAGTGGTTTATGAGAAGTTGCGCTGACCAAAAAAACAAGACTGACTGACGGGTCAAAAACATTATACCTCACGCGTGGGGTATAATAAACGAGTTTGATTCTGTGGTACAATGATAATGAAAATAGAATTTTTAAATGTGAATTAAATTCCTAGACATAAATAATTAATGATTATAAGAAAAAGCATATAGGAAGAGAGAGCAAACTCCTCGTAAGAATTCCACATTCTACCTAAAATTAGCTTTTTAAAAAATCTCGTCTGTTGTCCAGGCCCAAGTTCGACACGTACGTTTGAGAAGGTATTCGAGAAAGTTCCCATTCCTGTGATGTATATTTCACGTTTATTATATCCCCCGCCTGAAAAGTGGGAGGGTATATAGTAATCATTATGTCCGTCCGTCTGTCTGTTACGCTTTGGGGTACCCATCTCTTATCCACAAATCCTCTTATACCACTTAGAGAAATTTAACGAAACTTTCACAGAATCTTAAGTTTATTACATATATAATTACCATTATGCACCTCCTATTTTACTTTTTGATCTGACACGTATTTTGGGTTTAGAGACAACAGCAAAATATGGACTTTGCCATTATTACCATTTGGGAGGCAGGGGGTATCATTAAGTGAGCTCACTGCTCATAATACATGTATGTCTAGTTTCTCTTTCAATTTCAAAATGCACATACTTTGTGGTCGGAGTAACATATTTTTAAAAAAATCTCAAAACTGAATTCGGCAGAAATGTCTGTCTTCCAAGAATATAACGGTCATGTCAGTCATATTTGCATGCCTCCCCCCCCCCCCCCCCCCCCCCCCCCCCCCCCCGTCCAAAAAATCAAATGCCTAAATGTCAATCTGAATAGGGGATGGCCTTTCTCCGTGTGTATGTGTTGAAGAATGTATAGATGTACACATAAAAATTTGTATTCTGGTTAATTGCTTTTAAGATTTGAAGTAAATTATTACCGTAGATTTGAGATTAGTACTAAAATAATCAGTTATAATTGACACATGAATTTTGCGCCGCAAACCAACTGCAGACTATATAAACGACTTTGTATAGAATGTATATTAGAACTACATGTAGATAAACAATTCAGAGTTATAGCTTATGAACAGCAGATATAATATCCCTCCCCCCTTTCAGCCGCGCAAATACCAAATAACTTTCTTTCCAGTTGTGATATTTTCCCTGACCAAAATCTGATCAGCACGGACTAAGTGTATCGATGTGCTAGTCTGTACGGAGTAATGACAGTGTGTTTACTTTTGAGCTTTTATGGAGTTTATTTCTTTTTTGTGATGCATATTTCAATAAATGGAATTCAGGATGTATATCATTTGACTTGTGCACATCTTCGAACCGATGCAGTAACCTTATTACCAGGTATGGGTACGTTTACAGCATTCGAGGCGTTTTCTCGATATGCATCAATTGCATAGGACCTGCAGATCAAAGACGTTGGTTGTTTTTTTCCATTCAAATGATATAATTTCAAAGTGTGTTTGAAAATTTTACTGCTTTTTATTTTAAGTTTATTCTGCATAAATTGGCGCGCTGTAAAAATACGTACTCATGCATCTAAATTTCTCTTCCAAACTTGCATTTTTTTCTTTTGATTCAAATCAATAATCATTCAAAAATATGATTATTATGTTGTTCATTTCGGTTTTGAAATGTCTTGATCACCTCATGTGTTCTCATATGCTTTACCATCGGAGATGTGCACAAGTCGATACCCAATCCAGGAAATCATTCAAGTGTAACGAGCGCATTGGGGTATATATCGTTACAATGAGACAAGGTATCTGAAAGAAATATGGCGGAATACGGCTATAGTTGGTATGAAACAAGTCGTACATAGATGAAAATGTTGCGTTTTTAAGAATTCATGTCAGCTTTAAGTTTGATTGAAATTAGCCCACTGTGGTTCAGGAGAAAAAGATGAAATTGTAAAATTTTACAATAACAGCAACAATAACAATGACATACACCGAGAGAAGCTCACTTGAGCCTTCAGCTCAGGTGATCTTATATACATGTAAGTCTAGAGCAGAGTGAATTATTACCTGAACTTCCTTATCTTCATATAACAGCTTCTGCTTATTAGCAGGAATCTTCAGCTTGATACTGATATGCATCTGGACATCTGATAATGTCATAAAAGGTAAGTAAGGTATTTGTGCAGCATCTCCATTTAGAACCGTGACATTCAATATTTCTTTTCCAGAAGTTTTAGGAGCTGGTGGAGTGTAAGTTGCTTCATATTCTCTAAACATTTCCTCAAGAATAGCAATGAACCACTGAATTGTAGGACTGTTAGGAGAAACAGAAATGGAACATCCCGGGTGAGGGCATCGGTGCTTCTTCTTGCAAAAATCTACCACACACTAAAAATATGAAGATGTATACATGTATATATATATAAAAGAAAAGGCACATCAGATACCATTATCTTTGCATTAATTAACATTCACAGCTGCCTGAATTTTATTAAATCAAGCCATATGTTAAAAAGAAACATTTTTGTTTAACTAAATATAAAAATAAAATAAAAATGTTGTTTATTGAGAACTTTTATACTACAGTTATTGCAGAGATCAAAGAAAATATGCCATGAACGTTCAGTCACATTCTCAATAATTAAATCATGAAAATCATCAAAAAATTGTCAGAACAGAAAAAAAAAATTACATATCAAACCTATACAATTAATTTAAAAATGAAAAATTTGACTTTAGATTCTAATACTTTTTATACCACATCAATGTGTCTTCTTTTTTTGATCTAAACACAATGTATTGTCAAAATTAGCAGATTAATGTTGTTTTTATGGCTAACTGAAGCTGTTCCATGGACCTCCCCAAACATGTAAACTGCAATTTTACTGAAAAAGCAATTTCACTGCCCAAAACATGGCATGGCACCAGTGTGAGTCAAGAAGAAAATGTGACAGACCTGACTAGGATTTGAGACAAGGCCATCTCAATCATCTCATCTCAATTGAATTAAGACCATATGGTTGAGATTTATGACCATATGGTCAAAAACTATTGAATTAGTTTCCAATGTATAATTTTGTCAAGACCGTATACTTTACTTGACCCACAGAATGAATATTTAGACAAGAACAAAATAGCTCAATCACCTGTGTGGTGCAGTGGTAAGAGCATTTGGAGTGAGGAGTTGGTCCTTACATTGTGGGTTCAATTTCCACTTGAGACAAACCAGTCCTCTGGAGGAGACTTTATAAACTACCCGGTAAGTTCTGTTTCCTATTGTCACCAACATGATGCAGTGGTTTGAGCATCTCATCTAGAGTCGCGAAGTTAGGAGCGCTGTTTCGAATCCCACTGTGGGACATGGAGACCGGTCCTTCGGATGAGAGCGTATACATAAAGCAAGGTCCAGTGTTGCAGTAAGTGCAGGAAAAAGAACTCTCACTGCTCAATGATCCTGAGTGTCGAGTATAGGTCAAAATTTGTAGCTCTCCTGATCTCCATCAGCAAGTGGTGGAGTCTCAATATGAGTGAAAATTATTGAGAAGGACATTAAACAACATACAATTAATCATTCCGTGTCCTATTAGGCGCAAGCACAAAAACCCTTCTAGTACACTGCTCAAAGTCCCAATGTGCCACAAGGGACAGTCTCAATATGTGTAACAAAATGTTACACAAAAACACTGACAAAAAGTATGATTAATTTATATAATTCTCTGGAGCAAGAACAAACTTAATAAGATCAAACACAAAAGCTTCATGTCTAAAAGATAAAGTGCAATCTCTAATCATTTGATAGTACTTATAGTTTCTCGTTTCACTTCACAGGTCTTCTTTATGTGCAGTCAGCTTATCTTGCAATTGCCTGCGTTAAACTTTTTTTTTCATTTATCATGTTTATAACCTACCCTCAGACATGTAAGAGGAGGATGATCACATTCTTC